GTGCGTTGTGCGAATTTGTTGTACGAAATTGTGTTGTGCGAATGATGCGAATGTGCAAAATATGTGTTTGTGCGAATTGTGTGTTGTGCGAATTGTTTGTTGTGTGAATGGTGTGTTGTGCGAATTCTGTGTTGTGCGAATTGTGTATTGTGCGAATAGTGTGTTTGTTTATGTATGTGCACCAATATTTGTCTATGTGTTACTAATTTGTTTGTTTACATGTGTATATGTTTGTCAAGGCCAATCTGTTTTTTTTCTATGTGTTTTCCTTCACGTGCGTTTTGCTGCGGCATTCGACTAATATGTTATTATCGTTATAATTCTGTTATTACTATTATGACTATTATAAGTCTTTTGTGACTGTTAAAAGAAAGAAAACTGATACCCTTGAAATATCAAGAAATCTTCTAAAGGTATGAATTATCTGGTCTGGAAGAACGCCTATGAGTCCTTGGGGAATGTTGCTTACCTTTAGAAGGGTAATTCGTACTTCATAATTGGTGTAATTCGCACTTCCCACTTTTGTGTAATTCGCACTTCAGAATTTTGTATAATTCGCACTTTACTATCTTGTGTAATTGGCACTTCAGCCTTTTGTGTAGTTCGCACTGTTAAAAATAAATGAATAAATAAATAAATAAAGGTTTCGGCGAAATGGCCGTTTAAGGGGTGATTAAATTGGTTACATTCTTGGCAGCGCAGAAAATCAAAATAAAACATTATGTCCATAGAGCGGATCGCATAAAAATACACTGTTTAATAAGAAAAGAAAATTCTTTATAATCGTCACTGTCAGTTGAACCTCATATTTAATCCGCATTGCAAAAATACAGTCCAAAAATAACCACACAATTATTTCGCTAGTTACCCCATTGGCGTCAAGTAATCACACTTTCTACTGCCGTTTTCTTTCGTTGATTTTTTTGTTTGCAGATAGATGGCTCCCCAAGCGCTCAGTTGCCAAGGAGCCAATTAGTAACCCTGTGTCCTCACGTGATTCACCCCTCCTTGAGTTTTCGGGGGAAAATATTATTTTCTGAAGCTAATATCGCTTGACATTTCGATTATGATGTTATTAATGATAATAATAGTAAAACTTAAAAAGGATATTTCCGAGAATCAAGAAATAGGTACAGCTAGTAAGGGATTTCTTGGTGATTAAGTACTTGTAGAGCCATCTATGTGTCGAGATAATCAGTAGACAAAAACACGTTTTCTTGCTATCTCATCAACAGTCCACACGAACGTTTATAGAAAAAAACGTTAATGTGAAAGAATTACAGATCAAGAGTTTTGTGATTTTTTTGTGTACTTCATAACAACTAATTGTTTTACACACTGTGAAAAAATGGAGATACACAACAGAATTCCGTTTTCTTTCTTCGATTACAGAAAACGTCTCAAGGGATTGCACCGGAGACTTATAAAATATGAAAACATTTATTCTTTTCTGATTCTTTTACTAGGCAGTTTTGTTATTTGCTATGAAGATTTTGACAGTAGGCTGGATATTTCAATCTGCACATTATACACTAACTGAAGAAACCACGTACTTGTATAGTACACTCAGTATAGAATATATTCAGCTTTGAGTGGGTGTTAACGCTCTTTTGGTCGACTTTTGTATATTTTATCGGGAAATTCGGATTATCATAAGTGCATACCATTTGCGAATATGAAGAATACGAAAAAAACACCTTGTGAAACAGTAATAGCAGCAACAATAACACTCGAAGAAGAAAAAAAAGTAGCCTATTGTAGAATAATATACAAAACTCTACGGGAAGTTCCGCCATGTTTCAACTGTCTCTTTAAGATATGATAATTACAATCACTTGTAGAACGATTAAGGCCAGTGTGATTAACCAGAAGAACGAAAAAAATCGAATAAGGTAATAAGGGAAATGAAAAATATTGAACGATACAATATAAACATATATAGTTCTTTTGAAACTGTTCAGATTCCTTGACCCATTCTCTCAAACGACAAGACAGAGGATTTGTAAGTGTTCAGGGTATTTGCAGTGTGTGTGTGTGTGTGTGTGTGTGTGTGTGTGTGTGTGTGTGTGTGTGTGTGTGTGTGTGTGTGTGTGTGTGAGCGTAAGAGTCGGAGTGTACGTCTATGTGTGCCTGTGCGTGTACCTATTGAGTGTGTTTGTATTTGTGTGTATGCATTTGTGTGGATATATGTGCATGTACGTACGGCACTCATTTTAAGTAACATAATTAACTGTAAGTATGAAACACGAAGTTTTTAGGTCATTACTCTTGATTCTTCGTATATTCTATATAATTCTGAATGCACTCTGCAACGCCAGTTCCATTTGATAAATAATAAAAGAAAAAAAGTTAATTATTAAAAAAGAAATGAAACAGTTCGTTCAGGTATTTTACTTAGAGAGCGGCAAGGGTACATATATACAAATCCATATTTCGTTTTAAATTTCAGTATCAGCTTATAGGTCACTGAGGGTAACCGCTGATTCTGGGTAGCCGTTACAGATAGATAAATAGGTAGATGAATTAACGAATAGATAGATAAAAATACGTTAAAGGCATTTGAAAAAAAGGCTACAGCATGTTGTCCCCGCAAAGATTTTGGGTGGGCATGTTGGAAAAAATATATATATTTAGGGGAAACTTCTCTAAACCACTGAATCATTTACATTTTTGTTTTTCATTTGGGATAGAGTTGGGAATAAAAACCCAGAACCAGCGTCTTAATCTTGAAATTAAAAAAGTAATTTGAAGGAAAAATAATATTTGATATAACATTTGCTTCAACTTGTAAGGATGGTAATAGTATAAAAAGGCTGTGTCAAGTTTTTGTCGCGAAGGATTCGAACTTGTCTCGTGAAGAGGATTCGAAACGGCCTATTCGCACATGATTCCGATAGACATTTATTATTTAGGTTATTTTCTGTAAGTAGATAACTGGTAATGGAAATAAAATGTCACAATATCTTTTCCGCCTGCTATTGCATTTTATCCCCTTCAAAGTCCAAAATATGGATTTGCGCAAGTTGTCCCGGCTTAAAAAACGTGACGTCAGTATTTACTGCCTACGTCACATTTTGGCGGTCTTCTGAATAGCAGACGAATTTCTTTCCTTCGCAACTATTGCATAATACGCGAACTTGTAGCTTTTCTGTTGCGCAATCATTTGTGCTTTATTTCTAGATGGCTAAAATACTATTTAGTAAGGTTTTTTTTTAAAACTTGGATGATTANAATTTTTTTTCCTTTTTTTTCTCCTGCCCCCCCCCCATGTGAAAAAATCCTCCTGCCATATGTGAAAAAAATTGAAAACTAAAAATATAGGACATGACTATTTGGGTAGTAGTGAACAAATAAAAAACAAAAAAAAACAATTTTGTCTAGTATTTTATTTTATTTTATTTTATATATATTTTGGGGCATTTAACAATCTGTGAGTTTCGAAGACAATGTCTTCTGTACCTACCCCCCCCCCTCCCCATCATACCAACCTTTGTACCCTTTGACGAAATTAATACAATTATCAATTCGTGTATTTATCATCATTTGAAACCCTTCAACCTTCACTTGAAGTATCAATGCAGATAGAAAATTTATATAAATATTCAGAAATATTTTATGTACATTTCATTTTTTACTCCCATTATCGTCATATTCATCAATAATCTTATAGTCATCGTTGTCATCATCATCATAATCATAATTATCATCATTAAAACTGTTATCTTCATTATTATCACAATATTGTAAATTTTATTATTTCATTATTGTTATTGTATTGTCATTATTATTATTATTATTATTATTATTATTATTATTATTATTAATATATTATTATATTATTATTATTATATTATATTATTATTATTATTATTATTATATTATTATATTATTATTATTATTATATATTATTATATTATTATTATTATTATTATCATCATCATCATCATCTTCATCCATCATCATCATCACATCATCATCATCATCATCATCATTATTATTTATTATTATATATTACTATTATTATCATCATTATTATTATCATTATTACTATTATTGTTATTGCTGTCATTGCTATCCTTATAATTATCAATATTAATATATTTTTGCTGTTGTTGTTCTTAGCTCTCTCTTTTCCTTTTCCTTCTCACTCCTTATCTCATTCTCTCTTTATCCCCTCATTCTTTCTTTCCTCTTCTTCTCCTTCCTCTCTCCTCTCTCTCACTCTTTCCTTTCTCATTCCCACACCCCCTCCTCTCCCCTCTCCTTCCCCTTAATCTTCCCCCTTCTCCCTCCCTTCCCTCCATCCCTCTCTTCCCTCCCTTCTCCCTCTCCCTCCTTCTCTCCTTCTCTCTTACACCCTTCTCTCCCTCTCTCTCTTCTCTCTCACACCCTTCCCTCCCTCCCCGTCCCCTATCTCTCTCACTCTTTCCTCCCCTCTTCCCCCCCTCCTTCTCCTTCTCCCCCTCCCCTCCACCCTCTCCCTCCCTTCCTCCCTCTCTCCCCCCTCCCTCCCCCCTTTCCTTTCCCTCTTCTCCCACTCTTTCCCTTTTCTCCCTCCCCCTCCTCCCCTCCACCCTCCCTTTCTCCCTCTCTCCCCTCTCCCTCTACTCCTCCCACGCCTCCACCCTCTCTCCCTCCCCTCCCTCTACCCCTCCCCACGCCACCACCCTCTCTTTCTCCCTCTCCACTCCTCCCTTCCTCCCCAACCCTCCCTTTCTCCCCCCCAAACTCCTCACTCTTAATCCTCCCGCCCCTCCCTTTCTCCCTTCTTCCTTCTCCCTTCTCCCTCCCTTCTACCCTCCCCCCCCAACTCCCTCACTCTTAATCCTCCCCACCCCTCCCTTTCTCCCTCTCCTCTCCCACTCCCACCCTTCTACCCCTCCCCCCCAACTCCCTCACTCTTAATCCTCCCCACCCCCCCCCTCTCCCTTCTCCCTCTCCCTCCCTTCTACCCTCTCCCCCAACTCCCTCACTCTTAATCCTCCCCATTCCTTTTCCAGGACACGCTGACGAACCTCCTCGGTGCCTGGGACGAGGACAAGGCTCAGTTCGTGGCACCCAGAGACGGGGCGTACTACTTCTCCTTCCACGGCATTGGCACCAAGAACAGCGACTTCACGTGGGTATTCTGGGTATGGTGGGAAGTGGGGTTGGGGGTGGGGTGGGGGAAGGGAGGGAGGGAGGGAGGGAGGGTGGGGGGAGGGAGGAGGGAGGGAGGGAGGAGGGAGGGAGGGAGGAGGGAGGGAGGGAGGGAGGGGGGGAGGGAGGGAGGGAGGGAGGGAGATAGATAGATAAATAGATAGATGCATAGATACATACATACATAGATAGATAGGTAGATAGATGCATAGATACATACATACAGAGATAGATAGGTAGATAGATGCATAGATACATACATACATAGATAGGTAAGATAGATGCATAGATACATACATACAGAGATAGATAGGTAGATAGATGCATAGATACATACATACATAGATAGATAGGTAGATAGATGCATAGATACATACATACATAGATAGATAGGTAGATAGATGCATAGATACATACATACATAGATAGATAGGTAGATAGATGCATAGATACATACATACATAGATAGATAGGTAGATAGATGCATAGATACATACATACATAGATAGATAGGTAGATAGATGCATAGATACATACATACAATAGATAGATAGGTAGATAGATGCATAGATACATACATACATAGATAGATAGGTAGATAGATGCATAGATACATACATACATAGATAGATAGGTAGATAGATGCATAGATACATACATACATACATAGATAGGTAGATAGATGCATAGATACATACATACATAGATAGATAGGTAGATAGATGCATAGATACATACATACATAGATAGATAGGTAGATAGATGCATAGATACATACATACATAGATAGATAGGTAGATAGATGCATAGATACATACATACATAGATAGATAGGTAGATAGATGCATAGATACATACATACATAGATAAATAGGTAGATAGATGCATAGATACATACATACATAGATAGATAGGTAGATAGATGCATAGATACATACATACATAGATAGATAGGTAGATAGATGCATAGATACATACATACATAGATAGATAGGTAGATAGATGCATAGATACATACATACATAGATAGATAGGTAGATAGATGCATAGATACATACATACATAGATAGATAGGTAGATAGATGCATAGATACATACATACATAGATAGATAGGTAGATAGATGCATAGATACATACATACATAGATAGATAGGTAGATAGATGCATAGATACATACATACATAGATAGATAGGTAGATAGATGCATAGATACATACATACATAGATAGATAGGTAGATAGATGCATAGATACATACATACATACATAGATAGATAGGTAGATAGATGCATAGATACATACATACATAGATAGATAGGTAGATAGATGCATAGATACATACATACATAGATAGATAGGTAGATAGATGCATAGATACATACATACATAGATAGATAGGTAGATAGATGCATAGATACATACATACATAGATAGATAGGTAGATAGATGCATAGATACATACATACATAGATAGATAGGTAGATAGATGCATAGATACATACATACATAGATAGATAGGTAGATAGATAGAGAATATTGTTTTTTCAGTTTTTTTTCTGCACTACAGTTATTTTTACATTTTGTATTTATTAGTAATGTGTCCTGTTTCATAAGTGTACAGTAAGATATATTTTTAATAACACCATTGCATGACACCCCCCATACACCCTCATACTATCTACCCTTTCTCCACCCCATTCCTATCCTACCTCCCCCCTCTTCCTTCCCCCACCCCCACTCCCACTTCTGCTCCATCTTTCTCTCTGTACCATCATCATAAGATCTTCCTTCTCCTCTTCCTCCCTCTTCTCTCCTTCTCTCTCCTTCCATCCCGTCTCTTCCTCCACTTTTCTTTTAGCGTTTCCTTATCCTCCCCCCCCCCGCCCTCACAGTATCACCTTCTCCCATCCCCCGCTATTCTCCGCTTCCTCGCCCCCCCCATTTTCCAAAGCTCCCCCTCCTTCCCCCCTTCCCCTTCCCCTCCCCACGTCAATCCCAATGATATATACCTAGTGCCATCTTAAGATTCTCTCTTTCTCTTTCTCTTTCTCTTCTTTCTTTCTTTCTTTTTCTTTCTTTCTTTCTTTCTTTCTTTCTTTTTCTTCTTTCTTTCTTTCTTTCTTTCTTTCTTTCTTTCTTTCTTTTCTTTCCTTCTTTCTTTTTTCTTTCTTTCTTTCTTTCTCTCCTCTTCTCTTCCTCTCCTTCTCTCTCCTCTCTCTCTCTCTCTCTCTCTCTCTCTCTCTCTCTCTCTCTCTCTCTTCTCGTCTCTCCTCTCTCTCTTCTTTTTTTACCTGTCAGTGAATATCTTATTTCCTTGGAAAGTCGTTGACACTTTTGAGGAATTACGGTTCACTCTGGTTAACTTTACTTGATATTTTTCTCTTTCATTTTAGTGATTTAAGTTTATTTTTATTTTTATTTGTATATCAGGTTTATTTTTTCTCTTTCATTTTAGTGATTTATTATCTTTTTTTACTTGTATATCAGGTTTATTTTTTCTATCAATAGTTATCATGATTTGTGTTTTCTTCTTACATATTATGTTTTCTTGTCCATTATCTTTTCCTTTCCCTGTGTTTATCATGTTTTATGTCATTCCTATTTCCATTATCATTATTGTCTTTCTCTCTATAACAGTCTCTCTAATAATTTTTCAATAATCTAATCAGGAAAATGTTTAGAAATACCTTTGTATAACATTTACATTACGTACGATATGGGTATGAGACTATATATATATATATATATATATATTATATATATATATATATATAATATATATATATATAATATATATATTATATATATAATATACATAGATTCCTCTGCTTAAAAGGAGGTTTCTCTAACGTTCATACCCACATGGAGAAAGACAGAGAAAGAGAAAGAAAAGAGAGAGAAAAAAAGAGAGATAAAACAATAATATTTTTAAAAAATATATTCACACATCTTAACCCCCCCGCCCCCCCACCTACACAGGGAGAAAGACAAAGAAAGAGACAGAAACAGACAGAAAGAATAAGACATAAAACAATAAAAAAAAACTTTAAAAAGAATACACACACTCTTAACCCGCCCACAACCCCCTTACCCCCTCACCCTACTAACACTCCCACTCCCTTCCCCTCCCCCATAGCCTCGCCCTCATGAAGAACGGCGAGTACCAGGTGACAGCTTACGGAGGGCCGCCCAAGTACGAGTGGGCGAGTAACTCCGCCCTCCTCGTCCTCAAAGCTGGTGATAAGGTGTACCTCGAGCTCCAGGATGGCAGTATGTACGACCATCCAGGCAGAGAAGCATATACGACCTTCACCGGGTTTTTGGTGTTCGGGTGGCAGTAAGGGGGTGTGGAGAGGGAGGGACGGAGAGAAGGGTGAGAGAGAGAGAGAGGGAAGGAGAGAAGGGAAAGAAGGGAGGAGAGAGAGAAAAGGATAGAAGGGAGATAGAGAGAGATAGAAGGGAGAATTAGAGAGATATAGAAGGAAGAGAGAGAGAGAGATTTGGTGTATGATGATAAGTAAGAGGAGGAGGAGGAGAGAGAGAGAGAGAGAGAGAGAGAGAGAGAGAGAGAGAGAGAGAGAGAGAGATAGTAATTCTTGGTGTTAGAGATGTAAGAGAGGAATAAGACAATTTGCCCAAAGTTAAAAAAATGAATTTAAAAAAAAAGGAAAAGGAAATAATAATAATAAAGAAATATATATAGCATAGGAGAAGGATGGAAAAGTAAAGTATCTAAAAAAAAATAATAATTTGGACAGGATAATCCACCTTCAAAAAAAGAAATAATAATGATAATAAAAAAAAAATTAAAAAATGATTAAATTTGTCATTTTTTCCCTTGATCTTTAGAAAAATATAAACCGTTTGTTTCTTCACAAGCTTAAGAATTTTCCTTTTCCTTTTTTTAAAGTCCGGTAATACTCCCAAAGAGGGAAGAAGAACTCGTAAATCTAAGCTTATCTCTTATCTCCAAAGATGGAAAGCAGATAAGCCTAAAGATAAACATAGGAGACTTAATGTTGTTTTAGCTGAAGTAAGATCGCAAGAGTAGCGTGAGAGTGCAAGAGACAGCCTAGATTTTAGAATAAGGAGGTGGCGGTTGCATTTCTTGGTCTGTTTTGTATTTTTAGAATAAAGGATAAGATGAGATGGAAGAGATTTTTGGTTTTTAGTTTCCTTTTCCAGTGATGATGATTGTGGGAGTGTGTGCGCTTATTTGTGTGTATGTATATACATAATACACACACACACAGAGACATATATGTATATACATACATACATATACATAAACATATATATGTATATATATATATATATATATATATATGTATGTATATATATGTATATATATATATATATATATATATATATACACACACACACACACACTTATACATATATGTGTGTGTGTGTGTATTTTTTTTTTCTTTCTCGCTCTCACATAATCTCCTTAATTCTAGCAAACGGGGATTACTTAGACAAAGAAAGAAAGAGAAAAAAACAAAGCAATAAAACAAACAACAAATAGAAGGATAGAAAAAGAAGACCCACAAATAGGATTCCCTTTTTAAAACAAAAGTAATTTTAGAAGAGGAAGAACAAAAGCGCGCGCGCGTGCGTGTGTGTGTGTATGTGTGTGTGTGTGTGTGTTTACGTGTTTGCATACGCGTGTGCCCAAACATTCCCCTTCAAACAACCACCGTAATAACTTCGTATAGCATACATTATACGAAGTTATACGAAGATAAGCCTAAAGATAAACATAGGAGACTTAATGTTGTTTTAGCTGAAGTAAGATCGCAGGGGTAGCGTGAGAGTGCAAGAGACAGCCTAGATTTTAGAATAAGGAGGTGGCGGTTGCATTTCTTGGTCTGTTTTGTATTTTTAGAATAAAGGATAAGATGAGATGGAAGAGACTTTTGGTTTTTAGTTTCCTTTTCCAGTGATGATGATTGTGGGAGTGTGTGCGCTTATTTGTGTGTATGTATATACATAATACACACACACACAGAGACATATATGTATATACATACATACATATACATAAACATATATATGTATATATATATATATATATATATATATATACACACACACACACACACTTATACATATATGTGTGTGTGTGTGTGTATTTTTTTTCTTTCTCGCTCTCACATAATCTCCTTAATTCTAGCAAACGGGGATTACTTAGACAAAGAAAGAAAGAGAAAAAACAAAGCAATAAAACAAACAACAAATAGAAGGATAGAAAAAGAAGACAGACAAATAGGATTCCCTTTTTAAAACAAAAGTAATTTTAGAAGAGGAAGAACAAAAGCGCGCGCGCGTGCGTGTGTGTGTGTGTATGTGTGTGTGTGTGTGTTTACGTGTTTGCATACGCGTGTGCCCAAACATTCCCCTTCAAACAACCACACACACACACACACACACACACACACACACATCCAACTACGATAACGAACCAGAACCCCGATAACGCGTTTCTCAATTAATTTTACCGAACGCGTCCGCGCCTCCCCTCCGAATGAACGCGGCCGCCGTCCTGAGGTCCTTATTTGGCGCGGTGAAATTAACATGTTGGCGGGTTGGGTTGGGTTCACCGTGTCGATGGCGGCGGTGGCGGGAACTCGCGGTGGAAATAACAACACGTAGCATTTACCGTTTCTGTGACTTATTATTTTTCTTTTTTTCTCTCTCTCTTACCTCTCTCGTGCGTTTGAATAGGTTGATGGGGAAGTAATATTCGTGATGTCGATGTGTATTATGAGAATTTGAAGGCGCCGGAAATCAGTAATGAAATTCTTAACGGTTTTCGATGATGTTGATAATTATTAGTTATATATAGTAAATAATGGGAAATGGAATGAATAGAAAATGCGTATTTTTGTTGAGGGTCTTGTCTTTGGTTTTATAATTATTATCATTATTATGATTTTTATCATTATCACTGTTATCATTAATATTATTATCCTCCTCCTCATCATCATTATATCATTACCATCATCTTTTTCATCATTATTCTTATCACTACTGACATTATCATGATGACTATTATTACCAATGTAATTATTATCATAATTATAATGATTTTGGTGACTTCGTCGTTATCTTTATGATCAACGCTGTCTTATGTTATCTTTCCTTTTTGGTTTTATTCGTGTTTTCCTTCTTCTTCTTCTTCTTCTTCCTCTTTTCTACTCATCTTCCTCCTCTTCATCATTATAACATTGATGATGATAACGACGATAATGATTAGTAGTTGCAGTATTATTATCAACATTAGTAGTGGTAATAATATCATGATCATAGTTATAAGGATAGGAGGTGTAGTAGTCGTGCTATTACTACTACTACTACTACTACTACTACTAC